CTGTCAATTTAAAAGTTGAAGCCACATGGTATAAAGTAAATATACCGTAGTATACAAACTATATTTTTAAGGTGATTAAGAACAAAATAACAGCTTTTCAAACTCATACCATGCAATTTAAGCATCCATTTTTTAATTAATGCTGGCATGCTGGCATGATGGCAAGTTTTTTTGATGTTATGATGTAATTGATTTCATTAGTAAACAATTTTTTCAGAGAGCTCTTGAGAGCTTGTGAGTTTTGCAGATAGATACCAGTCAACAACAGTTCTACAGAACAAAAGATATGAAATCAAGTATTAGGGCTTTACAATTAATCCAATTTTAATCAAGATTAAGATTAGTCTTATTGTCAATGATACAGTATTCTTGGACCTTTTTAATCAATCACAGCCAATTACCTGTCAATAAAAACATTTGGTTTGGAGCAGAGTTTAGACTAGAGGAATTACGCTGGGTGTACATTGACTACAAATGCGCTTCAGGACTCACGCTGGTTTCACCAGACTCACAAAGTCATTCAAATCAGTGGTCCTGGTTAGTATGCAATAAAAAAAATTGTTAATGTGTCTAATTTAATATTGAAAGTCAATTTTATTTTCTATTTTTGTATTTTTATTTTAGACTAAATGAATATGAATGAACAACTGTAATCAATCAAACTGTAATGTATCCCTGTTGCAATCTTTTATTTACAGTACATTCCCCATCCTGTCTCAGCCTTTTCCATGACTGTATTAGTAGTATTTCGTAGCTGTCTCCTAATAATTGGAAAGACATATTTAGTTAAATTTCTTCTAGCACGTGTCCCGGAGAGCAGAGAGGCGAGAAACGTGTAAACAACCACAGCATTATTGTCCTTTCACACCAGCCTACGGATCCCTTGCTTTTGCCACCAAGACAAACTGTCACCATTCCTCTTTATTGCATACAGTCAACACAACCTGCTGTCTTAATGTCACACGAGGCGGGTAACAAAGAACTCAAATCTCCTCTTCATCTGGGCTCTGCGCTCCGCTCGGCTGCAGTCTAAAAATGCATGTGGGAGATATATTCAGCACTTGAACGTTTTGGAGCTAAAATAAAAATTGAGATTCAGGAGCAGTGATGTGCCCAGAATGAACTGAATGGTAAAATCTTATGTGGCCATGTTGTCAAAGATTATATTTACCTAAAATGCATGTGGTGTCAAATTTTGGCCAAATTTCTTTTCAGACTTTGGAACAGCAGATTGGATGATTACTGTAACAGTGACCACTACTTCCATGGCCTGCTTTTATGTGGGAGAAAGTCAAAGTGTGCCATTTTGCCTATTCTGCAAAATGGGACACATTCGCTATTTGTCTGTTGTCATTTTCTGTATGTGACAGAAGTACTAAAATCTGACAAATAGATGGTCAAAAAATTATGTTTGAATGTTTGAATTATAGTCATTTTCCATGGCAGGCAAATAGTTATCTATTGTCAAAGTACAATAAAGAACTGGGGAAGAAGGAGCTGAGTCAAGAGCTTTGGGGAGCTATGGTAGTCAAAAAAGCCAAACAAGATCACCAAGAGCGGTTCCCTCAGTGACATTAAAGAATGGGTCAAATGCAGGGGACAAATCTTCCCTTCAAGGACAATGAAACATCCCTTTATCTTAACCTTAGGTGGTTTTGGTTTCTGTCCTGGATGCCTCCTGGGAAGTTGTCAAGAAAATTGAAAAATTTAAAGTTTAGTCAAATTTCATATTGAAAATTTGTGACACAGCTTTGACACACACAAAAATAGGGCTACTACATGCCAAAAATCCTAATCGCGATTATTTGGCTCATAATTTAAATCACATCTATTTCGAGAAAGTCACAACCAAATATCATTTAGTACTAATGTAATGAAACTAATGAATTATAGTTTTGGTTACAACATTTCTCTAATTAAATGGAGCAATAATTGAAATTACATTTGCTTCATAACACAGGCTTAGAAAAATATATGTTTATTATTGACCATCCATAGAAAAGTGAATTGTTTGCAGTAAATTACCAAAGCAACACCACACTGTAGCATAATGGGCTGAACATATGATATAAATTACACAGTTCAATATGTTTCACACTTGCAGCTATTCTAAACATATGTATTTGTGGATGGTAAACACCCCAGTGCTTGTGCTGTGAGTGTGTCCTGTTAGCCACTTTCACAAAACAGGTGGCAAATTGCTGTATTCATTTAAAAATGAATCTGCTTAGTGTCAACATCCCCAACAAGTCACCCCGCGTTACCAAAATAACCCTTCCTCTGTCCGCCTCCACGTGGACGGTTTTCCTAAAAAGCTCTCATTAAATCCACCGGGCTGACAGTCATGCAGCGCTTGGCATCCTGGGTAACACAGGCCTTGCGTTGGGACAATGTATGGCGTTTGAATAATTCATCAGTGGCCCTTGTTCCATATTCCAAAACAGGTCTCCGCATGGCAAAATCCCACTGATGCCGGGTCTTTGTGGTGTGGTTCTGCTTTGGCATTGGATCATGACTTCAGACATTTAAGGGTTCAGCTGGTTTCTGTATAAGAAGCGAGAGTAAACAGAGCTGGGAGTGTGTATTGTAACATGCATTAAAATCCCGCCTCCCCCAAGCGATGTTTAGGCTGTGTTTAAAGAATGCTAAAGGCCAAGTAATGGGGGCATGCACACCTAATTTGTCTAGACCACCAAAGTTAGAAATGTTAAGAAATTTATGTATTCTATTATACTAATGTAAATACTGTCTCCAAGCCTAACAACTGCAGGAATGTCTAAAAATAAATCACATATTTAGATGTTCTGGTGAAGGGTTCGCCACCTGCTTGTCTCCATGGAAATGTTATTGTGTGTTCTGAAATTTTTCACAATATGGCATTAACACAGAAAAAAGTTAGAGGTGAGCCAACTACCATTAAGAAAAATTAAATTTTTTATTTGAAGATATTAAGGATGCCGTGGTGTGGAGATGAGCAACTAGCTGGCATAGTTACAAAGTGCACCTTTAATTTATACAGCAATATCATAATGTTTATTCTATGTAGATTTACAATTGTAATTTTATCTACAAACATATGAAAAGAAGCAGAGACTGTGGGTTATAACAAGAGTAATATATTAGTAATTAGGATAATAAAGATGTTTGAATCTCCTTTCCTCTTGCTGCTGTTGATGAGAAAACAATATTAAATAATGATTACTTGAAAACTGATTAGTTTTCACAATCAAAGAAACACCGTGAAGGTTGTGAAAGTTTACAGCAGCACCACACTTGGAAATCCTTGTAGAGTGCAAGGGCAGGCTCACATTATATCCCATTGACTAATATGACACTGAGCAAATACACGTGTTTCATTATGACATGTTCCGGATGCAGATGTGAACTATGGCAACTATGCGGTGACAAACAGCCCGCTAAAGGCTACATCTATTATTGATCTGTACCATGCAACAGTTTAACTCGCTTACTGAGCTGGGGAAAGTTTTCTTGTAACGTGTAGACTTTCTCCAGATTCTCACCTCAACTGCCCTACGTTTTATCCTTGGCTTCCCAGCTCATTCTGCTCAAATATTTTTCTTTTTTTTTTGTTTTCTTTGTGAAACCAGGCCTAAAAAATGATAAATCCACAGGGGCACGTTGTGGATCTTTAGAAGTTGGAGGTTTAGCCTGGGGCAGTACTTCAGACTGTTACAGACTGGGTAGTTACATTAAGTGTCTACCCTTGGGCAGTGGTGTGCATGTTTTACAGTCATGTGCAAATACCATTGGATGAGGTTTTAGTCTTTAGTCAATAAGGGCAAGGCAAGTTTATTTAGTGCTTTAGAGAATAAGAATAAATACATTAAACAAACAAATCAAAATATAAATAATCATCATAAATTTAACATTAATAAAGGATTGCAAAAGGTTAAACTGTCAAATATTCATTATTTTGTTATTTACAACATTGGCAATAAGCAGGGGTTAATGGCTACTTTTAATGTTCATGAAAAGAGGCTGTTTCCATAATTTTTTTTTTTTTTTTCTGTAGTTCTGTAATAAAGTCAAACTTCTGTTGTTTTACCTTAGCACAGATATATTGTAAAAGCTATTGGATGCAAAAATAACAAACCAACATGGTGTGCTGTTAGCATGCTAGTTGTTTTTAGTAGGGTTGTGATGGCAAAACTTTGCTCTGGCCTTGGAAAGCACCGAAACTCACTTATCACTGCGGTAAATTATTAGCATGACAGCAAGGAATAAATTTGGACCACTGTGAACGGTTTAAAAGTCCTATATTATACAAAACTGATTTTTGTTGAATGTTGTTATCTCCTCAAAAACATACCTTGAGTTGTGTTTTGTTTCATTCATGCATGTTTGAGTAATCTTGCATTATTAGGTTGCCTACATTTCCAAAGCTCAAAATGTTCTGTTCCACCTCGTGATGTCATCTAGCAGTGGTTTACAGCAGTAGTTTACAGCTACCTTTTATCTTTGCTTAAATAGAGATTGGAAATTCCAGGGTTGAAATTATTCAAATTATTCTAATGAAGGTCTATGGAGCACTTCCTGCATTACCACCTGACATCACAAAGTGGAATGTAGTGTTTTCTGTTTAAGAGAAGAACTCAGCCTAAATATGCAAGATTTGTGTGCTGGATGTGTGAATGAAATAAAACATAACTCCAGGTTTGTTTTTGACGATGAAATGACATTATAACATAGATCAAAAAATAGTCCATCAAAAGCCTAAAAATAATAAAAAAATATCACTGCAAAGGAAAACTGATTTGCGTTGAGAGATGTTTTATTAATTCCATCACGATTCGAACACTTTTGTGAGGAAATAGTGTTCCTCTGTGGGCGTGGGTGTGACAGTGCCTATTATTATATACAGTACATTCTATTGTTTCTTTTAACAAGTTGTTCAGCAGCCCCCAATGGTGTTACATACTGCAAATAACCACCATTTTCAAAAACAATTAACTATAATATTATTCCTTTTTTTCTTTCAGCTTTTCGCTTGAGAGGTCACCCCAGCAAAACATCATCCCCTAATCTTGCAGTAATTTGATTCAGCACATTTTGTAACATCAGATGCCCTCCCAGATGCCACCCTCTTCTTTTATGTGAGCTTTGGACCAGAACAAAAAGCCTCCTGGCTGTGGCTTGTGATCCCTTGTGGCTGGATATTGCTATCATCTACAATTGACTAGGTAAATGATTTTAGCTCACTGTGTCTCAAGCTAACAGGCACTTTTATTAAAATCGTAAAACATAAAATGAACAACCTATTAAGTTTCAAACTAAGTAAAAATAAAGAGTACACATTTATTTGTATATGTAGAATACTTCAGTTTGTGGTGTTGTTATAATATTTATTATGCCTCTTAAATTAGTATTAGCATTAACCAGAGGTGGGGACTTACAAATTGTGACTTGGACTCGAGTCAGACTTGAGTCACTATTCTTAGGACTTGAGACTTGACTTGATAAAATGGAACTAAGACTTGTGACTCGACTTGAACTTGAAGGTCAGTGACTTGGGACTTGACTCAGATTTGAGCCCTGTGACTTGCGATGACTTGATGCTTCTCCTAAAAATTATAAAATTAAATAAATAAATAAAAGATTGTATAAATAAATAAAAGTATAAAAGAAAATACTTTTCTCTTTACAGTAGACACATGCAATGCTTAATTTTACAAGAACAAACTGGACCATGTCCGTCCCACTTCTGTTCGTTACTTTGGATGTAATTGAAATATTGTGATGTAGTGTCCTCAAACGCACTATAGTAATATACAGTACAATACAGTAAAGCATAGGGAACTACATAGAACATCATCCTTCATGACAAAATAACTGTTATTTAGCACTTCTGACCATAATGATTCACATTGAAATCTTTCAAAACATTTAAAAAGAAAAAATTGCATTTCTACAACTCTTATATAAATACTCATATATAAATATACCATAACTTAAAGTACAATTTATCTTAAAAGTCATATAAATTGCAAAAATCTAAGCTATATTTGGTACTTTGGTTTAAAGACTTGAAATGACTTGAAGCTCAAAACAGACAACTTGGACTTGACTTGGACTTAGGGGCTAGTAACTCAAGACTCAACTTGGACTTGCCTGTCTTTGACTTGGGACTTGATTCGGATTTGAGGTCAAAGACTTGAGACTTACTTGAGACTTGAAATACTACGGCTTGGTCCCACCTCTGGCATTAACACAGAGACACAAACATCTCTTTTTTGAAACACAAAAGTGTCCCCAGCAGCTCCCTGTTCACTGCTTTATCTTTAAATATTTATTCATTAGAACACAACTTGGCAAAAACCACATAGAGTTAAAATTCAACAAGAAGTCGTGACGCTATCAGTGTTGCTGCTGGGCGCTATTGTGCTCAAAGTCTATTTAAAGGTGCACTGTGTAACTTTTTGGTTGGTTTGTCCACCTCCGTCTTGTTTGTTTCATGTTTCTATGCTTTGAATGTCCCACATTATAAAATTAAACAGCTCTACCTTACATTTATTAAATTACAGGTGGTTTTATAGCTCAAAAATATTTAGAAAAACAGGCATTCTGACTGTGAGCTGGCTGCCTCTCTACAGATCTGACCTGGAATTTGGTCTGGTTTGGTCTCCATGAAGATAGAAAGGTTTAATGCCAATATTAAACCTTCCTTACAAAGCAATAACATCTCACCAGAAACATTACATAATGCACTTTTAACTCTCAATTTCAGTGTAGTTTTTTTCACTCTAACATTCCTGTTTTCAAAGTAGGAGTAGCATGTGTAATTATTCACTAAAGGCCTTTCCTCTATTTGGAAATGAAATTGCTTCTATGGTATTCTATTCTTAGTTTGCGGTGAGTGACAACCCCGTGAAACGTTAATTCCCACATAAGGTCACCCTACAAACCTCAGAGGGGTGTGGTGGGGGTGGGGGTGTTGTAATATCAGTTGAATCCGTACCATAGGGAGTTCTCCGGGATCTACTTAGAGCTGCTGTCTCAACGTCCCCGTGTCTTTCTTATTTTCTCATTCCCAATAACGCTTATCTTGTGCCCATTACAATGCAGAAGATAAAACTATTAGGCCACATGAGGAAACTGTCGTGCGGGAGAGGAGATGTGTCCAGGAAAGCACATGTGATATGACGGGCCTATTATTAACCCAGAGATAGGCAGCAGTGTGGAGATCAGAGTCTATGAGTGTAATATATGTATAATGCTTCTTTAGGATTATAGCGTTGAGTAATCAGTACCTGAGTTCATAGTTGTATGGAAATACATTGTTTCTATTTTTGTATTTAATATTTAACCATAAAAACCAGATGTGGTTTTCAAAACACTTTAATTGTCAGTGTTGCCTCTTCAGTTTTTTTGCATATATATTAATATGAGAAATGTTTATCAAGGCTCTATGGGACAGAGTTCTCATTTATCCATGTTTGAGGCTGGTGTAAAAATACATTTTCCCTATGACTAGTGATGCACCCATCTGAATATTGGTACCAATGCTAAAAAATTTGCTGGATCAGATATCATCCTCCAAATATCCTGGTTGGACTTAGGCATTGATGTAATAAGACTATTTACTGCTCATAGTTGACACAGAAATTCTCAGAATGTTTTAACTTTTATTTAGGCCTACTGTACCTAAAGCTGTTCTGTGGTCACAGGAGATGAATAACAGCTCCATAATACATTTGGATCAGTTTTTTTTGTTTAAAGGAAATAAATATTGTTTTCAGTATCTCCTCTGGTACTGGTTGATATCGGGCATCGACAAATGCTTAAAGCTATAGTATCAATATCGGTAATGCAACTGAAAAAGCAGGATTGGTGCATCCCTACTTACTATTCTTAAAGTGCAATGACTTTAGACTTGCCATCATCGCAGTGAGTTTTTAAGTGCTTTTCACAGCCATCAAAAGCGAGAGCAGAGTTTTGCCATCTTCCAATCCAATCCAATCCAACTTTATTTTTATAGCATATTTTATAAAAAAGACGGTTTCCAAAGTGCTTCACATAGCAATGTAAAACATTGCTTGGTAATGCCAACAACAACTAGCATGCTTGTTCGCACAATAAAACCCTTTATAATTAGATGAAGACTGTACACAGTGGGCAAGACCAATGTTTTTCAGATACATTTAAGATTTTTCAATCTTTAGCAACTTTCTGACACTTTTCTTATCAACAATTTAGTTTCTATTATAATTTTGCATGTTATCAAATCAACTATCAGTATGTCCTTGTAGACAATATAATGGCCTCGGTCTGGATCTGCATGTACTGAGACCGGAACCTCACATTTAGTGTTGAGATCTGAACAGCTCACACCAGGCCTAGGGTGAAAAATGGTGTGTCTGATGAAAGGAGTGGTGCTTTAAACACACCACCAACCGGAGCAAGTGTTTGAACATGGAAGATCATTTCTTTCATCAGATTTTGAATTTTAAATGGTGTTGAATTTCTCACTTTGAATTTTTTAACTCTGAAAAAACATGTCTGAATTATTTTTTATTCTGAATTTTAGTGCTGAAATTTTAAGTTTACATTATAAAAGTGTTTAAAATTCAATAGTTAAAAAAAATAACCTTTTAAATATTCAGCACAAATTCAGGCCCTCAAATTCAGAGTGTAAAATTCTTGGTGAAAAAAAAAATTGCAGGAAAGATCCAAGATGCCAAGACTCAAGATGATCTGATCTAATTTAGTAACAAGCAGAAAATGGTGTAGTGAACCAATCTTATTCATCAGAATTAGCCTCATCAAAACTTCATCTCTTTTAATTCTTAGGTATAAACCCCTCCCATAGGTGAGAACGACCAACAGGAAACAGTTACCTCTATGCTGCTCACTCACAATGATCGATTGCTTTTGCCTTGGAATCTTGGATCTTTGCTATGAAATTTTTCACTGTGAATTTTGCACTCTGAATTTTGACTGCTGAATTTGAGGGCTTGAAAATATTTGTGCTGAATATTTTAAAGGTGATTTTTTTATTTTGAATTTGACATACTGAAAAAATATACTTAAAATCTCAGCATCTCAGCAACTAAAATTCAGAATTTTTTTTTTTTTCAGAGTTAAAAATTCAAAGTATTTAAAATTCAAAATCTAATGGAACAAATTATCTTCCATATTTGAACCCATTCACCAGAGTACAAGGGTTATTAAAGCACAATAGACCCATGATTGGCCTAGTGTGTATAAGTGTCAACAACAGTGGCATGCTTAGGCTTTACTCTATGGAAGAAATGATTAGGACAAATTGGAGTCCAAGAGTTTTATGTAACCATGGAGGCTGCTAATATAGTACTCAAAACTGCGTGTGAATGATTGGTGTACTCTTCTGATAAGTTGTGTTTTACATAATGTCTTTTTAAAAGTCCTTCAACTTGATTAGACGCGAGCAGCACCATCATTTATCATATATTTTACTGAGTGTGGCTGTGTGTGCTGGTGTTGCTTCTATTACTGCTTCTACTCTGCTCTGGTAGCTCAGTTGGTAGTGTTTGTCCACTGATCTGAAAATTGACAGTTCAAATCCCGCTCTCAAAATACACATCAGTGGTTGAGTGGTCAGATCCGATTCCACCTCCCAGAGACGCATGCTGTCATTGTGTCCTTGGGCAAGACACTTAACCCACCTCATGCCTAGTTTCTGTGTACACTGGTGTGTGAGTGGGTAATTGGTTCCTTGGAAAAGCGCTATATGAAAATGTAACCATTTACCATTACAATGAATACTACTATGACTATTGTTCCAATTACTTCATCTTGTTCATTTCTGATGAATAGTTTCTATTATCACTACTGGAATTCAAACCTTGTTATTAATTGAACATTTTATTTGTTGAGTGTTATACATGTTTTCATTCGTAGATGAAATAAGTACTTTAAGGAGAATTATTATTATTATATATATTTTTTACAATGATTACTCAACACAAAAGCAAAAAAACAAAAAACAAAAACAAAACTGTATTATCCTGCAAGTGCGAAAACAATTACAAGTGCTGCTTCTAAAACTCTGCTACTTTAAAATCAAATTAAGTTTTTACTGCCCTAACACTTGAAATGCAATAGCAGTTGGATAGTAACAAAGTCATTATTTCTAGAGAAGCGTAATTGGCCAATATGATTTCTTTATGGTCTCATATTGATTTTTATGACTGAACAACCCACA